CACGTTGGTAGTTATTTGGGCTTCTACATTAAAGGCTTGGGGTAGATCATGACAGGTTAGGAAAGGGATCCGTAAGGAACACACGTTGGTAGTTATTTGGGCTTCTACATTGAAGGCTTGGGGTAGATGGTGGGAGGTTTAGAATAAGAACCCCTAAGGAGTAATGTTAGCTTCTACATTAAGCCCGAAAGACAAAGCCTAAACCCTTCGCCCTCGAAACCCTAAACCCTAAAACCTAAAACCCTGAGCCTAAAACCCTCACCCGTAAGCCCTAACCCTCGAAACCCACGTTCCCGGCGCCTGGCTCGAAACCTCAAAGCCAGGAGCCCTAAACCCTAAACCCTAAACCCCAGGCCCAACAGAAGCAATAACCCGACCCTACAGTCTACCAGAGGCTCCAAAACCCCTTGATTGAGTAATATACCGTAACTTATAGAAGGAGCCTTATTCTGATTTAAGGGGTGTAGGCTTTAAGGCTTAGGGTTTAGGGTTTAAGGTTCAGGGCTTAAAGTGTATATTCCTTGTTTCGGGGGTTTGGAATTTGGAGTCCCTGGGAAAAGTAGGGGCCTAAATAAATCCCTATGCTATTTTGGGGGTTCCTTATTATAGAAATTGTATAATTGGACCCAAAACCCTATTCTAATTACTAAGGCCACTATATTCGGGGGCCTGAATAATTGCAGCTGCTCATCCCTGAAGGCCCATTATCACAATTACACGCTTAGAGGCTTTTTGGGAAGGGTTTCGGGTTTGGCGTTAGGGTTGAGGGCTTAGGGATTAGGGTTTAGGGTTTGGGGTTTAGGGGGTTTAGGGACCGCAAAACCTTCTTCTAATCATTAGGGTCCCTAAAGCTCTAACCCTGAGGGAGCCCTTACAAGGCACTCCTTACAGGAACTCTAAACCCTAAACCACCCTTTAAAGACACTCTTTATAGGAACCCCTCAAAGGAACCCTGGACCTTTCACCCCAAAGCTTAACTGCAAACTCATCAGCAGAAGGAGCCCCTCTAGATCCCTTGAAAGGTGACTAAGTCCCATGATCCGCTTAGTTGAACCCAAAACCTTAGCCCCTCAACCCTAAAACCTAAACCCCCAACCCAAAACCCAAAGCCTCAAACCCAAAACCCCAAACCCCAAACACTAAACCTTAGTAACCCTAGGCCCTGTGCCCACTCCTCCGTCTGGCAGGTTGGGTACTTTGAAGAAGCTGCAGATGTCTCGAACCTTGGGTGCCCACAGTTTAGGGCTTAGGGGGTTTAGGGTTTAGGGTTTAGGGTTTAGGGTTTAGGGTGTAGGGTGTAGGGTGTAGGGTGTAGTAGTATTTAGGGTGTAGGGTTTAGGGCTTAGGGTTTTGTAGCATGTAGGGTTTAGGGTTTAGGGTGTAGTAGTCTTGGAAAGGAAGCAGCCTAAGCCCTAACCCCCCGGACCTTAACGGATCTCTTAAAGGAAGCCTTCAAGGAACCCTTAAACGGATCCCTTGAAGGAACCCTTAGACCCTAAACCTTAAGTCCTTAAAGGAAGCAGCATCGATTCTTCCGCCAACTGCGAAAGCACGGCGAAATGCATCAAGCTCAGCGATTTCCTACGGCTCAGGCCGTCCCTTAAAAGGGACCCATCAGGGTTTGGGATAGAGGGCTCACGCTTCAAGGTTTCTGAGAAGTTTTCAAGGTTCCTTCAATTTAGGGGCTCCTTTAAGGCCTTGAAAAATTCGGTTCTATACAGTTCTATAAGGCTCTAGAGGGTCCCCATTTAAGGGTAAACCCTAAACCCTAAACTCTAAACCCTAAACCCCTAAACCCTAAACCCTGTTTGGCATAGATAGGTTGTTCTGAAATAGGGATCCTCTAACGGGGGTCTGTGAGGGTTTAGGGGTTGGGGTTTGGGGTTTAGGGTTTAGGGTTTAGGGTATAGGGTTTAGGGTTTAGGGTTTAGGGTTTAGGGGTTGGGGTTGAGGCCTGGTTTACGAGACACCGGGCCCTAAACCCTGCACCCCAGGGCTGACCGGCGTGGGGTTCCTATGGTATGCCCTTTACGGAATCCCTGTCGAACCCCTAAACCCTAAACCCTATAGATGCCTTAAAAGGAGCCCTTGTATGCCACGTTTCGGGGTGTTGGGGGTGTAGCTGGCTGAGAGCTGAGGAGGTCGTGGCTTAGGGTTTAGGGTTTAGGGTTTAGGTTTAGGGTCTGGGGTTTAGGTTTGGGGTTTAGGGTTTGGGGTTTAGGGTTTAGGGTTTGGGGTTTGGGGTTTGGGGTTTAGGGTTTAGGGTTTAGGGTTTGGGGTTTAGGTTGGTTGGGGTTCCCTTACTCAAAGGTGCACGGGACTTAGCAACTGAGGTTACTGTTTGGGTAGATATACGTAGGATTACTGAGAGCTCCGACACAGGTACTTCACAACCGGACGTAATAAGTCATGATCCCCCAAGAAGGGTTAAGGGCTTTAGGATTTGAGACAGTAAACCCTAATCCTTAAACCTAAAGCCCTAAGCCCTAAACCCCAAACCCTGATTTGGGACACCCTGTAGTTGAACCTACACCCTAAACCCACCCTAAACCCTAGACCCTAAACTCTAAACCCTAAACCCGAAACTCTAAACCCTAAACACCTAAACCCTAAACGCTAAACCCTGAACCATGAGGCCGTCGGGAGATGGTATGAAGAAACAACCTGGGCTGTCCTTCGGCAGTGCGCTACATGTTGGCGACGGCGTGAATTCCCTGTGCTTGGTATGTAGCGCCCCAGCTGCACCCAAGGGTTTAGGGGTTTAGGGGTTTAGGGGTTTAGGGTTTAGGGTTAAGGGTTTGGTGAACCTAAACCCAAAAGCCTAAACCCTAAACTCTGAACCCCAACCTACGGGAAGTTGCACTAGTGACCAGGCATTCAAGTAGTAGCTAGCTTCCGTGTTTTCATGTGGAGATCTTTTTCACGAAGCAGAACCCTAAACCTTAAACCCTAAANNAAACCCTAAACCCTAAACCGGGACCGTTGTCGGGGCTGTGGAGGTTCGTTTTCTTCTTTTTAGGCTTTCTGGGGAGGCCTTTTATTAGCGCTCAACATGGCAACTGCCCCCCCCGGTGCGGGTTAGGGTTCAGGGTTTAGGG